ACCAAGTTATATCCGAGAGGTGATGTGGGTTAAGAGAATCAGCTTGAGGGGGCTTTATGTATCAGACAGAATGGTTACAAATTTCAGTTCCATTGTTTACTGGCTATGCGTCCTTGGGCAAATTTCATAATCTTGCTGAATCTCAGCACACTCTGATATTTAAAGTGTCGACAGTATCTTCTTTACAGAATGAAGTGATGCATAGACATATAATGCCAAGTGCAGTACAGGAACTGGGTGATGTATAACACTAGATTCATTACAAATTCACAGTTGAAGAAGACGTCATTGTTGCAGAAACTGATTTTTTTAAAAGCCCTTTGATTCTATATTTCCATTCAATTTTGCATTTCTCACATAGATATGCACAGGATGAGACTCTGTTCCAGTGATAATTGCTAGATTTTGTTGCATGGCACACCACCGGCACCCCCTACCTAATTACAACCTTGCCTTTCCCCAAGGACACCCTTTCTCATTTTCTGGGGTTCTCTTTGGAGTCGCACCTGTCAGAAAATGGCCTGGTATACAGTACCGGGTCAGTGAGTCCACGAATTTCACATACATACTTTTTTGTATTCAAGAAGAATCAGACAGAATTCTTCAACTTATACAACCAAAAACCTGCCCCAAGCTAACCTGAGCTAGTGGGTCTTTGCTGATAGGATCACCCACAACAGTTTTACTAATTAAAAAAACAAACAAAACCTGAAGATGAGCTTTACAATTGAGACCTTTTGTCTTCCGACTGAGTCAACAGAAAGATTCATCTGAGAGGCTGGGGGCAGGTAGATCATTGAATCATAGCACTGGACTCTCTCACATCTCCCTCTGCATCTCATGTGTCCTTTTCACATACAGGCAATTATATGACTTTGAGCAAAGTACATAATTGCTCCGGGCCTCCACATCTACCTCAGAAAACGTCTCTCATTGAGGATCCATCTTATAAAATGTTTATGAGGATTTAATAAGGTAATTCATGCACGGTACTTAAAACAGTGCCAAGTATATCATAACCTCAACATTACTTTTGCTCTAAAGGTTGTTGCCTCCTTGAGAAAATAGAGGCTCTCGTAGCCTGTACCAGTTCACAATATTAAGTAACCAGATATACTAATATATTGTGGTGATGGAGAAAAAAAAAGTCCTGCCTTAGGGCCCCTTAAAGGATTTGTTGAAGGAAGCCGATTGATGAAAATAGGAAAGACAAGGAAGTTAGAAGACAAGGAACTCTTTCTGGATAACTAATTCATTGTATGACCTAGAGGAATCTTCTTACTACCTTTTTTCCATTTTAAAATTAAGGTTAAAAAAATTTTTCTACTGCAAAGGTTTCTTGAAAAGATTTACTGAGATAAGCCAAATATCTATATTTGATTCACAGTACAGACGAACTATGTTCTTGGTACTGGGCATAAATTTGTCACAAACATTAATCAACAGAGAACAGAAACAACACTTAGGGCAGGATTACTTACAGGATTTTCTGGCTACTCACTCTCCCAGATATTAAAATACCTATTCTTAGACCAAGCCAGATCATCAGAGAAATATATACCTAAAACAATCCAACAGTTCCTCCTACAGAAAACTCATTATCAAATTACATTACCGTGTGAGGCCAGCAGACCATATTGATGGGCCTCACAAGAATAAGCTCTATAAACCTCATTATTTGCATAACACAGAGGTTGCCAAAGACATTTTTCATTACCTCTACAGTGAGTTCTTTATAAGATCCTCCAGGAGAAATCTCAGCCTGACTTTAGGACTAAAAATGGTAGTACTCGTCTCCTGAGTATTGGAAGCGGAAGCAAATACAGATTTACTGTTAAGAGTCAGTGGAACAAGCCAAGAATGTATTTCTGCCTTAATTCAAAAATATTTATTGAACATCTACTATGTGCCAGACTCCCCACTAGGATCTAGAAATGCTAAACAAGACAGGAAATGTCTCTGTCTCCACAGACCTAGAGACTAGTGGGAATGAAATGATGATTAAATGAGCAACTATAATACAAAGAGATGATATAAAATGAGCCAGAAATAGGTCCTGGGCAACTAGGTAAGATCTATCACATCCTTAGGTAGACAGGGAGCCTGAAATAAATCTAAGCTTGGACCAAAAGAAGAATAAGAGGACCCTAGAGGAAAATACACACTTCTGTGGAAATCAGGAGAGGAAAGACATGTCAGGAAAAGCCTAGAAATAGGTGGATAGAGAGAGATACCAAGAACCTAAGACTGTCTATGTATCTCCTGCCCTGACCAGAACTGATCTATTTATGTACTTTACATCAATATAATAGCCTACATGAGTAGAATTATATTGTGTAGAGCTTTCATAACTATATTTAAATCATGTCATAGACTCCTGAGGAAATTGGCTTGATTTTATGTCTCTAAATAACCACATAGGAGAAGGTGTCAAAGAAAACACAAAGAAAGATTTAGTATTGTTTGACATATAATCTTAGGTAACTCATCACACTAAGAGTCATATTGATACAACCTTGTTGGTTTCTTTCCATCACCACTTACGTCTGAAATGAGAGAAGAACACCAAGATATATGGGGTGTTCTCTCCTTCCCTCCTTCAAATTGAGTGCAACTGCCCTTTTCATCCCCACAAATGCTGGATATTCAGGGGTGCCTGGGTGGCTCAGTCAGCTAAGCGTCTGACTTGATTTTGACTCAGGGCATGATCTCAGGGTCATGCGATCGAGTCTCGTGTCGGGCTCCACGCTCAGTGGGGAGTTTGCTTGAGATTCTCTCTCTCCCTCCCCCTCTGCCCCTCACCTCACCTCTCTATCTCGTTCTCTCTAAAATAAATAAATAAATCTTTTTTTTTTTTAAATGCTGGATATTCAGAGCACAGAATAAATATATACAAGGAATCCTGATATTGAAAAGTTTAACTGAGCAATCGAGAGACCGGGCTTTAGATCTGGTTGTGTCATGTAAAGACATGATATGTGAGGCTTGGAGGCTATGTGAGTAACTCAGTAAACTTGGTACCTCACATGTGTAGTGTAGTAACAAAAATAGACAATATTTATTGAAGATCTACTGTGTGACAATCACTCATTCCATGGGCTTTTTATGTACTAACTAACAACAACCTCATGAGGTAGGTATTATTGTCCTTTTACAGCTGAGGAAACTGAGGCATTCACAGACACTGTAACATTTCTGGGTCACGTGGTTGGTAAGTTCCTACCCACTACTTTATTCTCCCAACATCCATCCAAGAGCATCCCAGAGAAGTACCGTATTGGGGTACCATGCCTCAGGATCTATTTAAGAATTCACCTTCTCTACCCAGGGGCCTTTATGACATGATAGTGAATGGCAGTATAGGGTAATAAGAGTGACTCTATGCTACGCCCTGCTTTGCCCAGGACAGGCTTGGTGGATGCCTATTATCTCAATGCTCACCAATATCTTCTTTTACTCCAGGGTGTTTTTCCACTTTGGATGATAAGTTATACAGTCACTTAAGCCCAGTGGTTAACAGCTTAAGTTCTGCAGTTTGCTGGGTGTATGTTTGAAACTCAACTTAGCCATTTACTAGCTGTGGAAATTGAGGCCAATTATTTTAGCTAAATAAGTCTCAATTTTCACATCTACTGAATGGAAATAATAATGGTACCTACCTTATAGCTCAGTTGTGAGAAACATAGGGTCAAAGCATGTATCAACTATATGAATCAATTAGTATAATGCCTAGCAAATAGTGAGCACCCAAGAAAAGTGACTTTTTACCAACCTTTTATCAAATGTTTGAGAGGTTATCTCACATCTGCATAATCATGGTGGACTATTTTGTGAACTTGAGACATCAAAACATACCTGTGAATCTGAAGCACTTAGACATGGACCAGGATAAGTAAGGAATGCCAAGTCTTTCTAAGTAAATCACTGGTACTTCTAGAAGTACCCATTTTAAGACTAAATTATAATCCTAAAGCCATTGGAAATACAGTTTAGTTCTCGGCCACTCCCAAGAATTTTAATCCTTTCCAGTCTGGACTCCATAAAATGCTAAATTTCATGATGACAAAAAGTAAGAAATATTCTTTGAGCTTATAATCCCCTTGTGGTCCTTTCTAGCCTGTTGGGCCAGCCTCGATTCATACCGGCAAATTCTGGGATTATTCTGCTTTCAAACATGAGCCACTGACCCACCCTACTTTGTATTCAAAGCCTGGAACAGCCTCAAGACTCAGAGAATATCCTTCATATGGCATGAGCATGGCCACAGACCAGCCCCTTTGCTTGCCACTAAAGTGACTGGCTACATACCCCAGAGCCTGCCAAAATGTTTGTCACCTGACAGAGTCTTAGAAATCAGGCTTAATAAATTATGGTCATGGGCTTGAAGAAACCATATAGCTAGTTAGTATATTACCTATTTTCACTTCATTTTCTTTGTAAAATAGGGGGGTTACATCCATTGTAAAAGAACCAAAGGGTCAAATCTAACATGGTCTGGCTCTGGGCCTTTTAAAAAGATTCCATCTGCTGAAGAAAGACAACCCCCTCTCCCCTTCACTTTTTGGATGGGAGATCCCCTTCACTTTTTAAAAACTCCTAAGGAATGAAATTCTACTTACTTCCACAGTAACCTCTCTAATAACATGCCTGACTGTCAGCAAGTTCTTTGCCTCCACCCGCTTCCTCTTCTCATCATGCAAATTGCCACTGGCTTTAATTATTTTTAATAAGCCACTGGGAAGTGCAGTGAGGGAAAAGGAGAGCAAAGATTACACAGTGTGGGCTTACCCTTGCATTTTGAGTACAGCATTTCCCTGGAACGCTCATATCCTCCCAAAGTTGGGAAATAAAAAATGCCAAACGTATGGAAAGACATGCTGCTGCTGTCCAAATGTGAGACGTGGGTGGAGAAAATCATTTCGAAAAAGAGAGTGAGGGAAAAAGAAAAATCAACCCGAATCCCCAACAGCTGCAACTCAGGAAGCACGTGAAGCCCTTACCTTGGATGAACTCTGATTTCCTGCTCACAGACGGCAGGGTCCTGTTGAGCCCAAGGATCCTGTCCAGGTGGAAGGCAAACACCTCGCTCACGTCCAAAGGCTGCTTGAGTAGTCCACAGGGGCTGGGGCCACAGCCAGGCGCAGAGCCAGCGGCACTCCCCTCTAGCACCAGCAAGCGCGCTCCGCTTTTAGAGGACACGAGCTGAAGACCTGCCACTGCACCATCCGCCAACAGGCGCATTCGGAGGATGTCTTCTTTGCTCAGCCACGAGGGGGCGCTCTCACTGTAGATCCTGATGTTGCTCTCCTGGCTCTTGCGCCGCTGAAAATCTGAGCCCGCAACGTGCACTCCTGAGCCCCGTATCAGCCTCCAGGGTCGTTCCCCAGCCTTGGCCAGATTTCCTCCCTGGACGTACCCAGGCACTTCAGCATCAGCTGCCCTTGCACCATCCTGTGGCTGAAGGGATGGTCCGACCAAAGCCTCCTGTCCCAGGGCTGGCGATGCCACTGCGTACTTCTTCCTGCGCTTGGGTTTCACGGTGCCACGGATATTGGCAGGCTTGCTGCGCTTGGAGCGTAGGGTAATATACACCACATTGAGCTGCAGCGTGGTCCCATTGCCCTGAGACTCTGGAGGGGCCAGGGTACCATCCAAGGGTATCTCAGGGAAGGGTGCCTCGGCGGTGTCGTGGCTCTGGTGTGGTCCCTTTTCTGCTGCCCTTCCTTGCTGGAGAGAGGCACGTCCCACCTGGCTCACCAGAAAGCCCAGGTAGATGGCGCAGGCAGTGCCCAGCAGGAGGTTCCTCCGGGTCCTTGGGCGCCGGCTGCTCCAGAGTTTACGCACCCGCGGGACGCACAGGGAGCAGATGAACCAGTTTATGAGCTGCCCTGGCTTGTCTGGACAGGTCATTTCTCTGCTGCATCCACATGTTGAACAGAGTTTAAAGTCTGCAGTTGGTTCCTGCTGACATGATGCATGGTTTCCTGAATTCAGCTGTTGCCTCCGTTTAGGTATATAAGTGGTCTCCCGTGGGTAGAGTAGAGGTGGAAGTAAAAGGATGGTGATGAAGTTGGGAATGTTTCTGACACTCGCCACAACAAATCTTTTAAACTCCTATCGGCCTCCCCAAGGAGAAGTGTGGCTTGTTTCTGGGAATGAATGGAAACAGAGTTAACTGAGTCACAATCTCAAACGAGTTCAGTTCCTCTTCAAGAGTAAAGGAAAAAAGTAACCCTTTCCTTTCATAAATATCACCACCATGAAATTTCTTTTAAATAAAGCTTAAAAAAGAGTAACAGGACAGACGTAGAGATTCGATATTCAGTTTAAATTAGTGAAAACAAACCACGAAAATCCAAGAATATTTTATAACTTGTGGCTAGAGTCATTTAATTTGATTCTGAAAGAAAAGTATTAAAATTTGACAAACCCTTTTTGAAATCTAGAAATAATTTCAGACAAGTGAGAGATGGTTTTTAAAAACAGTCTATAGCCATCCCGTGTTTATTTTTTAAAGTCCTGCATTACAAATTGGGCAGAAGCACCAAATATTAACGTTCAAATTTGGAAACATATTCTCTTAATCTGATGGTACGATTTTTTCTTCATTCTATGTTTCATCATCCCTAATAAAGAATGATTTCAATATAAAGCCATAAATGTCCATATATCTCAGAAGAAGTTATGTTTATCCAGTCACACACACACACATAAACACAAAACACAAATCCGATTGCTTTTCATTTCTTTTCTTCCCACAAAAGTCAGCTGAAAGAAAATAAAGGGATCTCTAGCTCTATTTCTTTCACATTCTTAAAAAGAAGAAGAACTCATAAGCAACCTTACTTACACAGCTGGCCCCATGCTTGGCTCCAGGAAGAATGTAATCCCTGACTGTAATGCAAAGAACTTTTAAAGGCTGAGGCATGTAAGTAGAACATATTTCATGGTCAAGAGTGTTCCACATTTCAAATAGCTCAGCTTTAAAAGCTCCCTTGAAAACTCCTGATTGCAAAGCAAAATGGTTATTTGTCAACTGGCCACTGGTATCCCAGTTTAAGACGCGTTAGGTTTTTTTGTTTTTAATAGTCTAAAAAATAAACTTTAATTTTAAGATCTGAAAAAACAAAAGCCAAAGCCGTACAGAAGCAGTTTTCATTCAAATCATTTTCCACTTATTTTTAACCCCTGGGAGCCCTCTAGTGTCCTGTTTGGAAACAGACTCAGAAATGTCAGTCTCATGGGGTTAAAAAGGATTGAGAGTGTTTGCTTAGCGGCAGCAGGATAAATACCTTATAAAATGAGGAATGCCAGAACCCTGCTGTCCATTCCGTGTAGCTGGGAATTAGAGCACCAAGGTTCCCAGGGACTACGACTCACCTTACTGTCTTGACTGTTTACAGAGTAATATTTGTCCCCCACCTCTTCTGAGAAGGCCTAGACGTTCGTAAAAAGGTAAGAAAGAGTTAACTTAAAAGAGGAAAAAAATAGACTGGTGAGATAAGAGTGCACACAGATAGGGGAAGACATTTATAGTGTGCTCTTGCATGGTGCAACGGCTCACAAAAAGAAGTCATGGATTCTCTCTGATTGGAAGTTGTTTTAAAAACAGGTTAGTAATTGGCTTAGGGAGTTTGCATGTCCTGGCACAAAGGCAGGGTTGATGACCTCTGGGTCTCATTTAAGCTCATGCTTTTTGCTTCGAGGGCAAATAGAATCAGAAGGTAGGACAGTGACAGGGATTGTTTGCCCCACTGGAAAAGAAGTTTGTGATACGGGGGGGCGGGTAGGAGATTAGCGTATGGTGTATAATCCTAAAAATACTGCATTTTACAATGCAAAAAAAAATCAAGGGATTGAAACATAGAAGGAAAGAATAAACTCCCAAGGGATAAAATGCCAAAAAATTATAATACAGCTGTTACTTTAGCACTCGAACTCAGACCTGTCTTCTTTTTTAAAGGTTCTGCCACATGGAGAAAGGAGAGGAACCATTCCAATATTGACAATGGTCTAGAAGTACCTGTAGATTTTGGCTAAACTTCATGAGACTTCAAGCATTTTTCCAAAAGCATTCTTCTTTGTGTTCCAAAACTCTAAAACTCATAAGCACAGAATTATTTTCTAGGTAGTAAATGTTCACTTTTTGAAAGGAAACCATGACAGAGTTGTTTTATTATAACGATATTAGGGGCATCTGGGTGGCTCAGTCAGTTAAGTATCTGCCTTCGGCTCAGGGCCCCACATCGGGCTCCCTGCTCAGCGGGGAGTCTGCTTCTCCCTCTGCCCCTCCCTCCACTTGTGCTCTCTCTTACTCACTTTCTCTCTCTCAAATAAATGAATAAAATCTTTTAAAAAAATATATTATAACGATATTATTATTTTCACATATCAAGAAGAATAACTGACCTGACTCTAAAAATTAAAAGTGCATCTTAAATTAAAAGCAGAAGCCAGGTTATAACAAGCAGAAGCCTCTGCTGGCTGTTTCTAAAGCAACTTCTTTAGTAAAGAAATGTTTTGGAAATTGATGAGTGATGTGTGAGTTGGCAAATTTGCTTGACTGCCCCCTCACCCCAATGAAGGTCTCTTTACTAGAAGACCAGCACATTGCCTCCTTACAGCCATAGGAGGGATTAGCAGAGGCTAAAGGGTAGGATATTTAGAGAATGGGCTCCAGAGGGAGAAAGCCTGGCTCCTGATCCTCCTATGCTTTCTAGCTGTGGTCCCTTGTGACAGGTAGTCTTACCTCTCTAGCCTCAGTTTCCCTCTCTAAGAGACGACTAATAATAGCACTTACCCCATCAGTTTCTTGTGTTGGTTAAATGAGATAGCAGTGACAGAATGATAATTTGAAAGATTCGTCACTATTTTTTATTCCCCGAGCACCTTACTGAACTTCTCAGAGGCCTTTCTCCCAGCCCAGGCAGCTTGACAGGGCATCATCACTGCATCAAAGGGAAACTATCATCGTATAATTAGGAACACGCTCGTTGAATTATTGGTGTAGTCAATATATGGATATAACCAACACAGTGGACAAGAATGCCCATCAGATGTAATCGGAAAACAATTTTCATTGGGGTTGCTGGGTGGCTCAGCCAGTTAAGCATTGGACTCTTGATTTTGGCTTAGGTCATGATCTCAGGGTCATGAGACTGAGCCCCAGGCCCAGTTCCACATTCAGTGGGGAGTCTGCTTAAGATTCTCTCTCCCTCTCCCTCTGCCCCTCTCCCACTCCCAATTCCCCCCACCCCCACCCCCACACTCACTCATGTGTTCTCTCTTTCTCCCCTTCCCTAAAAAAAAAGAAAATAATTTTCATCATTCTCCCCACTGCCTATTCAAACCTGCTTGGTGGCCTAGTAGCACTTTCCAACTCCCTTGGATAAAAACCCACACATGATTTTTTTCCTCATACTTAGAATTTTTAAAATGCCTCTACTCATTTTAGTCACACACACACACACACACACACACACAGTTCACACAAAAACTAATCAAAATGTTTGATCCAAATAGTCAAAATTTTCAAATTTCTTTTAAGTATAAAGTATTTTCCTTTTCCAGAAATTAGCTGTCCCTCAAAAAGCATAGCCAAAGCCCACTGAAAAGGGGGAGAGGAAATCCATCCCAGATTGGGTTTTTTTTGTTGTTTTTTGTTTATTTTCCCATCTAGACCTTCTTCCCCACCTACATACCCACTCACCTCACTCTGCATCCAGCTCTGGCTATTCCAGAGTTGAAGGGTAGTGGGGACGGAAAAGTAGTAACAGGGGAAATATTGTTGCCACTCCACACTAGGGTTATGAATTGGTTTATAAGCTCTCCGGGCTTAGCGCAGGTATATAAAATTGACCATCAGGTGGGCATTTTGCAATCACTTCAAAAACACCACTGTTATTGTCTCTCTGGCTGGCTGTTGATGTCTCCTCAGCCCCTTGGGGTCTGGCAGCCCTCTGCTCTGTTGAGGTCACCTTCTCTCTTCAGGCCGTTCTCTTGGGCAGGATTTAAAACAGCCAACAGGGTGGCTTTCTCACTTGGGCCTGCCTGTATTGCCCACAAGTGGTCTGATACGCACAATCACCATCCTTTGCCTCGCAACCTCAGGCTTCGTAATGCAGCCACCTATTTCCCTTGGCATGGTGGACCCTCATTTTGGAATGGGGAAGTGGCTGCCATTTATTGCTCATTGTCACGGTTGAAAATGAACAGAAGGTACTTTCTACCATTGAGCTCAAGAGAGAAGTTTAAGGGCGCCTGCGTGGCTCAGTCGTTAAGTGTTTGCCTTCGGCTCAGGTCATGATCCCAAGGTCCTGGGATCGAGTCCTGCATCGGGCTCCCTGCTCGGTGGGAAGCCTGCTTCTCCCTCTCCCACTCCCCCCTGCTTGTGCGTGCTCTCTCTCTCTCTCTCTCAAATAAATAAATACATAAATCTTTAAAAGAGAGAGAGAGAGAATTTTAATTTCATTTTAGAAAAATAAACCTAAATTCCTTGAATGAGTAATGGCTTGAAAGTTTGTTGTCAAATATGACATTCACATATAACATGTGAGCGCATATATAACACTCCAAATATTTGTTGTTGGTATTAATATTTGATCAGAGAGATCAAATCCTCATACCTAAAGTACTTTCTCTCCATTAAAAAAAAAATCCACGAGGAAAACAAAGCAGGAAGGTAGACAATAAAACAATGATATGGCTCATTAAAATTGTATGGTGACTAATATAACATAATAAAATAAATTAAAAAATAATAATAAAATAATATTACCTGGGAAAGTTTTTATACGTTTATGGAGGCAAGAGAGGGAAATGAGGAGAAGCAACATGAGCAGGGTCAGGAGCCTCTGGTAACATGCAATTTCTTGAACTACATAGTATTTATGAAAGGATGTTTATTTTGG